TATATATATATAGATATATATACTAGCATTTTTGTTTTTCTACTTTTTCCCTTTTTCATATTAGTAGTCAAATGAAATTCCATTACTACTTGAGTAGGAGTTTTACTTTATCATGGGTTGAACGCCAACATAGTTTTATTAAGGATGAAAAAGGTAAAGTTTGAGTGCCTACATTTAAGGCTAGGCATCCCCATAAGTCTTTGATTTAACACATCTTCCACTACCACCCTATGTAATTTATAGTTATGCAGAGCTACTATGCCTATGCCAATCTCTTTTGTTTGCATTTTAAATATTATTATTTTTTGATCCTGCACTCGGTGATCAAATAGCCACCCCTTACAAGGGACGTGCGTAGGATTATAAAGATTTGGGATCAAATCTCAAGTCCCCGTTCTCCCTTCTCTCGAGAAAAAAAGATTTCATACTGTTCAAAAAAAAATATTATTTTTTGTAATTAATTTTTTTATATTTTTAATTTTAATTAGTATTTTTATAATTGCACTTTGTCGTGTGATTCAGTGGTTAGAGCCACTGAAAAGTGCACATTTCTTTTTCTGGACGGGTTTCAAACCTGCCCCATAACAAAAAACTGTTCAAAAAAAATTAGTATTTTTATAATTTAAAATTTCTAAAAAAATTAAAAATTAACAATTAAATTTTTTTATTTACATTTTAATTTTGTCAATAATTTTAAGCTTTTCATAAAATTTAAATTATTAAAGATGTTAAATAAGAGGATTTGGTCAAAATAATAATGATAATAAAAGATTTGGATTACATTTACCCATAATAGGACGGAAGCTGTGCTTGGTGTTGAAAAATGAGTATATAAGTCCATTTGAAATTATTATTAAGGATAGATATTAATTATTTTATTTACTAATCACTAATAATTCCTAAAAGTCCTCTTTTACAATTTGGTATGGTCCCGAGTGAAGAACAGTTTTTCAATTTTTAAGAGGAGGGATTTTACTTTGTGCTTCAAAACTTTATTGCCATTGGTCCCCGGGCACCGCCTCAATCATGTCACCTTTAATAGTAGACTTTTTCTTATATTTTGCAAAAGGAAAATTCTTCCTTTGATTTCACCCAGGATTTTTCTTTTTTTCTAAATTTTGAAAATAATGTGAATTAATTATTCATTTTAATTTAATGCCAATGAATCCAAATAAGAATGTAGTATAAGGGTACATTCAGAATTACAAGTACTCATTTGGAATTATTTTAAGTTTTCAAGACTTTTTTTGAGATTATATTTTGAAACCTAAATTTATTTAGAATTATTTTTTTATTTTAATTACATAATAAAAGATAATCATTTCACATTTCTTATTTTACTCCACCCGTATTCTATACAAATCAAACTTAAAACTTTTGATTTTCAACGAAAAGATATGATAAATTGTTGATTACCATTTAAAACCTACCATTTTTAGGAATTATCCCTTATATTTTTACTCTTCTGATTTAAACCTAATTAGATATGGCCAAAAAGAAATTAATTCCAAGATGAATTTGCTATTTTTTTTTTCCACCCTGCCATAAAAGCCTATTAAGTATTGGTTATTTGGTCATAAGGCATTTCTCTCGAACTCCCCCATGTGTAGATTTTCCTCATCCTAATGCCTACATAGCCTACAACGTGGGTTTTAGGTAATGCATTTCTCTAAGAATCTGCAAACAAGTGGTGGGCAACGCGAACCGGGCCTTGGGGCCAATAGCTGACCTCAAACTTTAAGTGTTTGGGTGACGTGATCGAAGTTTTGACCTCCACTACAGTCGTGAACTTTATTAAAAGGCGACTTGATAACCACGTGCCTCATTTAAGGGGTGAAATATTCACTCAATTTAAGAACCAGTTGCTAACAATTAATTCAATAACTTTTTAATCCTTACCTTTCTAAAAATAAAAAAAAAATGATGAGTAACGCAGATAATGACAGTATTGGCCTAGCAGGCACTGCTCAGACCCAGTTACTCTGAATTCTACTGCACCATTGATAATTTGACACGCAGAATTACAGAAAAGAAGAGAAAAAAAAAAAAAAAGCAGTTGGGAATGGTTGACAAATTGAACATCCCATGATGTCATTCAAACACATCTCTGACTAGATGAATTATAAACAAGAAAAATCATAAAAACACATTATCATAATACCAATCAATAAAGAATTCACAAAACTTATTATTGAACTTTGTATCATTATAACAATAAATAATAAAGCCAATACCAGAAAACCAATCTATGAATGAGGTATGAAATTTGAACGACAACCAATTTAATATTTGAATGCAAACTAAGAAAAAAATGAAAAGAAAAACTGATAACAATCCAAAAGAATTGCTTATCTATACCCTATAGGATACCCACCAAACCTCTGTTGATCGGCTGCTTAATATAACTATTATATATAGATATGTATTTCTCGAAGTTAAAACCAATTCAGCCCAAAATTAAAAGAGAAGTTGCCATTCCCAACCAAAAACAATGCAAAAACAACCAAAACTGTGAGAAGCACCCACATCCATGGCTGCATCCTTCTCTTACCCCGGTTGCGAAGAGGAGGAGGAGGAATAGATTTTGCCTTACTCTGCTTCGTATACAGTGACTGTTTTTGAGGCTTCTTTGTTGTTGCCACTTGTTTCTCTCTGGTTTCAGGTTCATTTGGAGTTTCAATTGAAGTTTCTGAAGTTGGTTCAGATTCTACTTCATTTGTGACACCACTATCCTCTCCTGATGTTGCTGCCTTTCTTCTTTCCTTCTTCTTTGCCTTCTTTTCTCTTTCCTGCACAGAGAATGTTTCAGATGAATTGATACAGAACTACAGAGAATATCACTTCCAAGTTCCAACTGAGATGTCAGGCAATATGATAAAATATCAATTAAAGTTCATGTCTGTGGTATCAATGGAGGAATTTACCTTCTCTTTTTGTTCAGCTTCCTTCTGAGCTCTTAGCACAGCCCTGGCCTGGGCCTTCTCTGCATTTCTTTTCTTCCTCTCAAGTGCCTCCTTGGCCTTGGCCTTCTCATCCAACCGGCGTTGCTCCATCAATTTAGCTTCTTCTTCTTTCTTCCTCAATTCTTCTGCCTTCCTGCTCAATTCCTCTTCCTCCTTTGTTTTCTTCTGCTCTTCTTCTGTGGGCTCCTGAATCTCATCCCTGACAGAAGCAGTTTCCATGCTGTTTGCTGGTGAACCAGATTTCGAGGACTTCTTGGGTTTAGCTGCAGGATTCTTTTCCGGTGCAGTCTTCATCACAGGTTTACCTTTTACCTTTTCAGCTTCTGCAGGCTCAACTTGTTCTCTGGTTTCTCCTTCTGTAGATGTGATAGACAATGTACTATCCTTGGCCACTCTTTCATTTGCAACATGAGGAATTACAGGTGGCTCTTCATCAGGACCAATTGAGCGGCCATCCAGTGTCTTCAGTCTCCTAAGAGTACTTCTGACATTGCATCTGAAATAATCTTTACGGCACTCGTCATTCTTGTTCAGTATGTCCATATTTTTCTCAACCTGGATGATTGATTTGTCAGGGAAGACTTGCAGCTTTGTTTCTAGATTTGTTAAACAGAAATAATGTACATGAACCTACTTGGCTAGCACAAAGCTTTTCCAATGCTGCTATATCTCTCTTGAAAGCCAAATCATAAGCTGCCTTGGCATCATCCCTGTATTGCCAGAAGTATTTGTTCTGTAAAATTTCAAGAAAAAGGACATGTCAAGGTCGGTCATTGTAGTCCGGTATTTTTGCAATTTTTCTTTGAATGTTATCAAAATATCCACACAAAATCAAAACAACACACCTTCTCATATGATTGTTTCCTTAAACTTTGCAACTGAGCATATGCTTCCTGACGAATGGAATCTGCACTTCTGAACTCAGAGAGCAGCTTGCTTAGCTTCTCATTTTCCTCCGACAATTTTTTCTTAGCAGCTTTAGTGAATGCTTCAGCCTTCAGAACATTGTCTCTCAGAAGATCTGCTTCCTTCTTCAGTGACTGTAAACGCAGAACAACCAGATAAGCAATCAAACACTACATCTATACTACCAACTGAAGATGAATTATTCCAACAGCTAGGTTAATTAAAGATGAATGGATAACAAGGAGTGAAAATAGGATGAAAAGAAGAAAAATAGAAAATGGAAAGAACAAGGAGATATGCTTGAAAACACTACCTTCAGGCGCCCTTCAATTTGGTCTTTCTGCTCTGAGGTTTGCTGAACTCCATCCTGCCTACCCATATTAGAAGAAAGATTTTCACGAGTTTGCTTCAGTTGCTTGATTTCACGAATCAACTGCTTTTCTTCCTTCAGAGGCAGGGTTTCATGTTGTATACTGTGTTCCATATTCCGTATCTGCTTAAAAGGCACACAATTAGTAGGATTACAATATCACATTATCAGAAAATAAAGAAAAGCTGCTTAGAAAGTGTGGTTCATAGTTTTTAAGCTAGAGTTGAGCAAACTGTAAATGTGTGAGCAAAATGAACTTAAAAATTGTGTAAATATAAAATGATCTATGTTCTGCATGTATAAAAATTATGATATGAACATAAAATAAGCATGATCTGATGTACCATGTGATTCACATGATTATTGCTCAGTCAATTACAAACTAGATTTGTTACGTTTTGTGCTGTCCCATTGTTAACATTTAACCATACCCAGTACATGTTCTGCATGTTCAGTGTTTACATGCTTTAAAGTGTGCAAGATGAGTAAAGAATACGTCGATGCATGAAGTTCATAAGTCTTCTGTTGTGATTATATCTAGGAACTTGACATGTCATGCATGTTCTAAGAATTTAAGTCAGTCAAAGTGCAATGTTGCGTGAGATGAAAGCAAGGCATATATCTTAAAATTTTTGTTAAGCGAAGTGATTTCCATATCATGTTATGCATGTTCCTTCTGCTATATGTTCATCTGTTTATGTTTGCCTTAGAAACTATGGAAAGCTTGGACCCTAACCTAGGCTTGGGAGTTAGAACAGTGAATTAGTGGACCTCCATGCAGTAGGTAAGTTCCATGATTAGCTTTAGCATATCAATATGACTGCATAAACATTCAGTGGGCCCCATAGTCTATATGCTTGTACGTTAAGCTGCATTATGCTATTCAGTGTTCTGATTATGTCTTATAATTACTTGACTATTCTGCATGATTTGTCAGTTAACCTAATTACCTAATACATGAACAAGCTAGAAAGCTCAACTTATGTTAAAATTTAGTTAGTCTGATTATAAATCAGCAAAGTTAGTCAAATGGAATTATGTATGATACAAATAAAGCCATATAGCCTCTATTCTTTTGTTATGAAAGGCTTAGGCTCTATCTTCTGCTATGAGTTTCAATAACATGACTTAGTCTTAAAGCTCTCCTTGATGGCTATGAGTTACTCTATATCTGTTTACTTAATTATTGTTAATGGTTTTCAATAAGCTATGACTAATACTACGCTATGTAAGCAGAACACCTACCAATGATCTTGTAAGGCAAACCTGTATCTGCTATCTAGCATCTGCTAGGAGCTGGTTAGGGCTCAATGGGCTCTATTCTGTATCTTTTGTAACTTTGCCTTCCTAAAACTTATTAAGAACTTATTTTGTACTAGGCCTCAACAGTTTATCCATGCCTTAAACTCTATGAACTCCTATCCTGTTTTGAACCTATCAGGGCTGTTTAATAATTATCAAGACTTTGGCACTTTTTCTATGAAGCATGTAATCTGATACATATTTCTAAGTCCCTAGCCATGTTTCATGCATTATTCCCATAGAATTCTTGCACACTCTGAATTCATTTTAAAAGCTTTTAAAATGTTTTTAGCATTCTCAACCAAGCTTTATGTTTTTCGACTAAAGTCTTTTCTTTTATTAACAAGCTAGTAGAACCTATTTATACCAGTTTTATAAAATTCATCCATCTTAGGGATCATATTGCATAAGAGTGGGGTCTGACACAAAAAATTGTTCCTCAACATATGGGCATGGGTTATGGGGGTTGGTGCTTACCCTGCCATCAATATCCTCAATGCTAATAGCAGATTGAAGAGAATCTATTTCCTGGCGCTTCGACTTAAGCAACTCCCGTGCAGCTCTTTCTTGGGATAGAGCATCTTCAAAATTGTCAGAAAGTTCCTTGCAAGTGGCCTAACCACAGGGGCACTTAAAATTTTTAACAACCATATGAAGGGGAATAAATAAACACATAAAGCATTACATACAGATCTTTTACCTTTTTCTTTTTGATTTCAGCTCGAACGGCATCCCGGCCTTCAGTTCTCTCATCAACTCTTAACTGAGCCTGTCTGATCTGTTCTTTTAAATTTTCATCATCATATCTTGGAACTTTTACCAAGTAGAATCGTCTTTTCCCTCCCTCAGGAATAGGGTTCTGACCTTCAGAAGTGTCAATGGCAGAACCTTCTGAGGAGCATGTTGTACTTTCATCCTTGTGAACCACATTAACAGCCTCTGATTCTTGACATAATTTATCATGATCAATGTTAGAAAGCTGAATTCCTCCATTTTCAATGTGTGCCACTTTGTCATCATCTTGAGCGCAATTTTCTTCACTATCACCAGCAGTGCCATTCAATTTTTCAGGTTCAGTTGCAACACTATCGTTGGCAGGCATGTCCCTGCTGCTCTCGGCAGAGAAATTTTCAACTGCAATATCCACTTCCGAATCAGTACCCACATCAGTACTTGGCAAACTAGATACTACCTCCATAGACACAACTGAATCAGAACTAGTCTTGCTTTCTGATGTCGCACCATTAGCGAGACAGCTTGGTGTGGTATCACCATCATTATCAACAGCGCCACCAATTACTTCTGAATTGTCAACAAGATGGGAATCTGCATCTGCACAAAATTTCCATTCTGATTTGCCAGCTTCAGCTTCTGTACTCACCTCATCAACAGCAGAAGAAGGCAAATTTTCAGAGACTTCAATTGCAACTTCTGAATTGTCGGAAGGATGGGAGTCTGCAGTCCCCTTGCCATCCTCGCCTGACTTCAGAACTTCAGCTGCTGTTTGAACATCATCAACAGCAGAAACCGGGAAACTTTCAGTAACTTCAGTTTCTATTTCTGAATTGTCAATGCAATGGGAACCTGCAATCCCACTGCCTTTCTCTTCTGACTTTTCAACTTCCGGCTCTATTCCCACCTCATCAGCAGGTGAAAAAAGGGTATTCTCTACTGACTCCTCAACTTCTGGCACTGTGCTCAACTGATTAATGGTAGGAACAGAGGCACTTTCAGCAACTTCAGAACTGTCAACAGGATGAGAATCTGCAGTCTCTCTGACATTCAATTCTGACTTTCCAACTTCAGCTTCTGTTCCCACCTCATCAACGACAGAAGCCGGAAAGTTTTCGGCAACTTCATTTGCTACTTCTAAACTGTCAACAGGACCATGATCTTCACTCTCTCTGAGATTCAATTCTGACTTTCCAACTTCAACCTCAGTTCTCACCTCATCAACAGGTAAAGCTGGGAAATTTTCTGAAATTTCCGAAGAAGCATCATGATTAACACGACTATCAAGATTTGCATTCTTATGTGTAAAAAAAGAATGTGTTCTTTCCAAAATTTTAGAGGTCTCACCTTGTTCAGTTGTGGTTTGATTGGCATCAACCTCCACAATAGTCTCTGGATCTTGGTCCTGCGCATGACTGTCTGGCAAAACCTCCACACTTTGATCAGGAACAGAAAGACCAACAATTTCATCCCCCAATTGGATTTCAGCAGCCAATTCTGAATTATCTCCCAAGCCCGACGCAGGGTTCCCCAAGACACCTTCAACAGTGGCAGAGTCCTGGACAATATGAGCAGCAGGAACATTGAAAGAGGATGATGTTTCTGGTGTTTCGGGGGAAGAGCCATTGGAACCAATGGCAATATCGGTTTGAGAAGCTGCTTCCCTGGCGATATGATGAGGCAACTTGTCCGCATTATCATGTGTAGCAGAAGAATGACCACCCACAGGATGGTCGGCAGTCAATTCGACGAAATCTTTGTCCTGATCTGGGTTAATTTGAACAGCCCCCTCAACCCCAATCTGAGATTCGTTATTTTCTTCTAATCCTAAACCCAAATCTGATTTGACTTGCCCCTGAAGGTCTCGATCCCCAACACCCAAAACTTCAATTTCAGGCTCATGACATCCTTTCTGTACCACAACATCCTCGGGAATGGATGATTCGCCATTGTGAGTCATAATTCCATTATCAGGATGGCGGTGATCATCAGATTGGGAAACAAACGGCTCACCGTTTCGATCCTGAATAGGAACAGTAAGATCCCCACCACCACTACCATCAATTTGGTCACCATTGACTATTTCCAACTCCCCAGTCCCATTCCCATTGGCTTCGTGATCCGCCTCAACCGGATCGCCGCCTTCAACCGCATCCTTGCCGCTAACAAAAACGTAAGAGCCGTCGGCAACAGCAGCAGCAGCAGCATGATCATCCTCCTCCTGAGCAGTGCCATTGATTCCATTTGAGAGATCCAATCCATACTGCTTCTTCTCCTCAACCTCAACATCAACCTCAACCTTGGTGGACACCTCATCATGCACGCCCACCTCGGCCGTCATAATTCTACAGGTGGTGTGGATCACGTAGTTAACAAACAACAATTACAAGTATAATATCAAACAAATTCAGATCTAAAAATAGAAATGCAGAACATGAATTACGATCTTGGCAAAGAAAATACGAGAAAACTTACGAGTAATAATGGAAGTCGGTGCAGAGGAAGATTGAGAATGCGAGCGTGAAGGATGGAAGGAAGGAGTTTAGAATGCGTTTAAATTTGAAGATTAAAGCAAAGAGTAATTGATGGGATGAGATGAGATGAGATGAGGACAGAAGTAGAGACGGAGAAGGAGACGCTCTCAAACAGGAGGCAACAGAAGGGAGAGGAGGAAAGGTGAGAAAAGAAAGAAAAAGAGTTCAGACTAATTTCAATTTAGTACGTTTTAGATATACTAATATATTAATAATTTAAATAACTCGGCTATCTAATTTTTTATTGATTGAGATTAGTTTTTGTAAATAAGATAAAAGAAATTTATTAGTTACTGCATAATTCAAAATCTTTTTACCCCTCATAAATCTAATAAGATTCACCTAATTTAATTTAATTTAAATTTAAAATTAAGGATTAGCCATTTACGCAATTTTTAAAAAAATTTTTTTTGGTACATACCATTTACGCAATTATTACTATACATAAAAAAAGAATTAGCTATTTACCTTCTAGAATTTTAGATCTAAATTTTACTATTCAAATCTTAAAAAA